CATGAGTGGACAACGATCACTCTTGCTCGGGCAAACACCGCCAACTTTTAGGACCCACGATGTTGGGCTTGTCCAGGGCATCAAGAATCGAGAAGCTTGCTCTTCAGCCGTGTCAATGGTCAAGGGGCGCTAGTCACGTCCGACCCAATGTGCCTTGAATTTTCAAGATCCAAATACTGATCTGCTCTGCTCTACTGGCTGTACCAAATAATACCCAGCCAAGCGGATAGACTATCGACCAAGGCGCGATCTATACTTTGGTGTCGTTCTGCAGTGTACATGGCATGTGCCTGCTCGAAGTTCCGTTAACCGCCTCAAGCACACAACCCGGCCGTTCTCGCAAGCATGGCAGCCTACGCTTGCCTGAATCCGTACTGGTCTGAGTCGACCCTCAACGGCCGGATATCGCTTGTCTACATGTGTTTGTTACTCTTCTTGACCAAAACACCAGTTTGAAAGCCGAGTCATGACGCCCGTTTCTAACCTGTGTTTCGGCATTACCTGCTAGGGATTTGGTTTGTTCATGTTGTTTTTCGATATCACTGCACGGAAGGCATCACGATTTTGAGCTATCCTATAGCATCGCGTCTGTCACTTATTAAGACGTAGTATGCAAGTTGAAACATATCTGGTACCGAGGCATCTGTGCGACTTCGGATGATGGCTCAGTGGAGTTTAACCATTGCCAGATTTGTCCATACTGGCGATCGCGTCTGTGGTAATTTGCCGCACTGCTCTCTGCATCTCATTCCTTCATTGAGGCAACTTCAGAAATGGATATTGAATATCGGGGAATGAGAGAGCTTGAAAGTTGAATGTATTTGGAACGCTTCATCAAGACAGACCCACGACCGTGCGTGAGCTTGGGCTAGGGGTCACCCTGGCAGATTTAGATGGTGGAGCCATATTACTAGCCGCCACATACATACAATTCAGCCCAGCAAGAGGATTTTCAGGGTACCTGGTCGCTGGTTGCTCGATACAGACCAAGTTCATGGGCCTGTACATCCGTCACAGCGAAGCAAATTAAAACTCTGGTCTTGGGGCTGTCACCTCGGCTTCTGGAGATGTATCTTCACAAGTAAGGAAAGGATGAACCGCACGACGTTAATTCTCCCGTGGTGGCTGCCAACTAAAAAGACAAGACCAGAGGCTCTTCAATAACACATGCCGTCGGTGTGCCTATCCAGACGCTTATTGGACGAGGTGGTTCGTCGCAATTGCGGCTCCGAACAACCTATTTGAGACTTCGTTCTGGAAACATGGGCGTCGAGCAACGCACGAACGAGTAGATTCGGGGAATACGGAGCTGGAGTAATGGGGAATTGGAGCACACGTCCAGATTCGCTGTACCACCACTTCTTGGCGGAGAACTCTGGGGACCGTCTTGACTTCGTATCGTGTTACCAAACAAGCACCAGACAGTCTTCACGAGTCAAAGTACAAGGTTTAGGTACCAATCTACGGATACTACTCCGTAAGTTTGAGGTTCATTCATGGATGTTCCGAAAGACAGGGTATCTGGCACCTAAATTCTTATTCTTCCCTTGGACAGATTTGAACTGACAGGGTTTGATATTGACTTTGGCCAACTTGTGTCTTTTGGGAACTTCACCAACAAGCTCCGAAGTTTGAATGTAATGCATTCGATTTTCATTAGAAGAATCAAATATTCAAAGCATGCATTAGCCGGCAGCAGCAGGCAAAAGCAATCCCTGGCTACATGCAGATGCTTATTTTAGCCGCATGTGTATATCCCGGTGAGCTGCACGACGACGTTGGACGGTTCGAGACAACAGCATTTAGTGGAAGTATTGAAGTTGGTGGAGCGCAACACATCCACTCTCATACTCAAACTCTCTGTCTCACACACGCACACATAGCGAGAGCACTTGCATCAACCCCCACTTACTACCCATGAGCCGGCAGGGATGTTGACGGGCGAGCTAGGAGGGTTAGGGGTGCCTTGCTAGTGGTACTTGGGCAGCAGGTATGGCTGTTCCGGTATTTTCCATCGTCATCACCAAGACAATCAGAGTCTAGACTGATGATACACCTTTGATAGACGAGTGTAAGTCAAAGCTGGTCGTTGACAGAGCATGTGCAGAATCTCGTCTTTGCGGTGTCTATCATCGTATAGCACCACAGCCAGGAACGCAATTAACATGAGCTGCATGGGCATATTGATTCTCCAAAACCGACATCGCGATTGGGCCCGGAGACTTCTCGCCATAGCCAGCAAATTAACTCTGATACCTAGTACATGTTCGATTTGAATGAGATCAAATAATAACACCGAAAACGAATTCTATCCTCCTCGGGCCGGGAAACATGGACGAACGGGAACCCTTGTCACTTTCAATGCCTCGTTCCTGTTGATGGCTTGCAACCACTCGGCTGTGAGAGGCTCGTGTAAGCGTTGCGCCCGCAAATGATTCAAATACTGCACTAAACGACCGAGCATGGTGTCAGCGGCTTGACCATCCTAGTCATCCATGAGAGTGTGGGTTCGATCTTTAGCCTGTTGCTCAAACAAGCACTGGATCAATAATAAATTATAAATCCACTGATCAATAGGTATTATTGACATCCGGCAAAACAAAGATCCAAAGGCTTTAAAGGCTGTTCGGTACAGAATACTGGTCTGAAGGCTGGACGACGCCCGCCTCAGTTAATTTCGACCACTCGGTTCAGTAAACGAGTTCAAGCGCCTGAATAGCACAGGAGTAGCAGACGTAGCCAACAAGGGCAAGCAATTCCAGCAAAATGATCATTTATAAGGTGTTCACTTGAATCAAATGGTCATACTGGTTACCTTAGCCCCAATGTCGCCTCAAGTGCCCAAGAAAGATGGTATTATGATGGAGAGTCATGCGGGAGTAGGTTTCCGTCAAGCCTGAATCGCTTATAACGCTCGAGATTCTGGGCAGTTCTCCGCTTCCTAGCATGAAAGAAAGCATGTGTTGAGTCGATGCAACTTCACTTCCTGACTTCTCCTCAGCAACGACAGCGGGAACAAAGCTCTATGCATATATCCTTTCCCCACACGCTGCTCAGCCTGCCAGACTGGGGAGTGGTGATCAGGGAGAACAGGGCCAGGGCCGGAGGACCTTCAAAGGGAAACCCGGTGGCAGTGAAGGAACAAATCAAATCAAGTGGCTCATTTGATGGGTAACACGATCTGTAGACTCAAGAGTCAGAGAGTCTCGAGCGGATCTCGCACGAGAGAGAGCCCGGAGTGTCGCCCCACTATAGCGGTGTGGGCCAGAGATAGAGACAGATATTAATATGTCATGCCTGCTTGTGTCCCCAGACATTAGGAGTGGGTTGACCGATCAGATCTCTCAGCGCCATTCTCCAACGCCCGCAACAGTACCCTAGCCCGCAAATCAACATGTGAGATGCACTCGAGCGGCAGAAACCAGCAAGGAAAGTAGGCCACCAGGCGCAGGCCTGTCGTGAGCCATTTGCTACGTTAGTTGCTACCGGCATGACAGTTCTCTAGCTTCGGTCAAATCCCCGAGAGCCACCTATCAACAGAGACAGTCAAATTTGAGGGATGATGAGTGTCAGTGCCGCCTCGGTGCAGATTCACTGTTTGAGCCCTCGGGACCGGTTTCTGGCTTCCTTGCATCCGGTGGGAATAGACCTGGGAATCAACTTTGAATATTGCTTTGCCTGCAGGTGGGGGACGCAGTTCGAGTTGGGGGTCCACGGAGGAGCATTGTGTGCGAGTGCAACACTCCGGACGGACGAGACCATGTTATCTCCTATCTCAAGAGGCATGCTGCTCGGCTGACCTTGGCGGTTAAGGTTGCGATCATCGGGCAGGGGTAGAGGGGTTGCCAACGGAGGCGAGTTGGACCATGATGCGCTCATCTCATCGAACTGCACGAGCATCACCGGTGAGGTTGCTGTCCGGAGGTCTTGCTTGGAGCCCATGTCATGCTGGAGACTCCTTCACCACTGCCAGGCTTCTCATCTCATCTCAGAGCCAGTGCTGAGCGGACCAGGCGTCTTCCCAGCCGAGCTTGTTTGGGGTCTAGACACAGTATGCTCGGAAAGTTGGATACATAAAATCCGGGGTCCTCGAGACTTTTTAACTCATGTGTTATCTCTAGCACGTACCAATGCGAGTCATCTCTGCAATCCTACGTGGCTGTTGACCCTCGTCGCTTCTCAAAGGTTCTCAAGGCTGAAGATTAGATAACTAGGTTCCCCAATCATGACCTGTGTCTGGCTGTGTATACGGGTTTATCAGTCCGGAGAACCAAGAAACACACTATCCGCATTACAGAACAAACGGCCGCATATCAGTTGAAGCCAGTTGCTCTGTAACCTTATCTCAGCGCCATCGCCCTGCATATCTGTGATACCATAGCCTTAAATTCGTCGATGCTGCTGCTTTGTCACTTCTGCCGAAAACAACTGTTGAAGGGACTCTTGTCCTACGTCTATTTTTGTTGTCAAAGAAAGAGACACGAGACCCCGTTGGTCTTACAAAATGCTCAGAGGTCAATGCATACGAGACCGTAACCGTAGCCATTCTTTGTTTTCCTCATGCCTAAGGACCTGTACTCTTTGTCAAACGAGACCGATCGAGACACGAAACAATGTTCTATACTTGGCCCGGTCGAATAGATAGTCATATGGAGGAACGATTCCCCGAAACGATGCGAGCGACAGAATCCCAATACAATAAGATAACAAAGCACCTCGATATGGCCTTTCATAGCGAGCTCTATCATGAGCTCTTCTCTTTGTCAATTAAGTCAGGATGATGCTATTCTTGCAATTGCTTTCAACATTGTAAAGGAAGATCCTTGAGAATGAGACGTCCTACCCAGGTGTTTATAGACTGATGAACCCCATGGTTCACGACAGATTCAGAATGGCCCCGAAGCATATCGACCACACGAACGAAAAACATGCATATGAACTCTCCGATACGTCTCCCGGTATCTCTGTTTGTGGTCTTCACCACCCGGTATGCGTCGGCGATGCCAGTAGTAAAAGGGCCTCCAGTGTTGAGCAAGGAAAATACCGAGTCACTGGTATCTCACGCCCTTAGAAGCTTTACCAGCCTGGACCAAAGGAACAAAGAGACTTCGCAGGACAATCCCGTAAGAGACTATGCGAGGAGTGGTGCCGATAAAGGTGCAATTGTGGGCGGCACTGTTGCTGGCGGAATCATCATTTGCTTTGCAATATTTTTCGGTGTTCTCGTCCTCAAGAGATGCCTTGTTCCTCAAGGAAGAAACAATAACAGGATATTTGATGAGAAACCTTTACGTCTAGGTACTGAGACACCAGGAACGAAGACCTCGGCTCACACTTCATGGCGTCAGACGTTCAACCATCGAATATCGGTCCCGTATGCAGACTCTGTATACTCTCAGGGATCTCTCGGAGACACCGCAGCTGCCACCCAAATGAGTAGGGCTTCTGCCCAACCAATCCCGCTGCCTACTATACCGCCAAAGGCTGCTCAGATGTTGGGAGTTGAAAATACGAAATCGACAACACCGCTTGCAAAGACACCTCTGTCGTCACCTCGCTTGCCAATTACACCTCTTTCGGAGAACTTTATGCCAGAGACTCCTATTCTTCAATACTCTTCGTCCCAGACTTCTCCGAAGCAGAGTCCTCTACGAAGGAACCCTCCATTGCTGCCCCCTCCGCAGAATCCTCCTCCTCAAGGTCGGCTGCCGCCTGTCCCTACCCATGAGCCACCAGCTATTGGGGTGTCCAAGTCATCCAGTAACCCCCGGGATCGTACATCCTCCGTCTGTACCATGAGTACTCTTGGTATGGAACTTCTCCACGATGTGATGCAACCCCGGGACTCAACCACATTCAGCCCACCCCCTGGAAAGGCGACCTTCTTTCGTTCACCACGGCCAATTTCAAAAACAAATCAGCCGCCTCCGGTAGCCATGAGAAATTCCAAAGGGCAGAATGCAGTGCCTGATAGACGATACTTTGTACCGTTGTTCAAGAACAATGGACAGCTGCCGAGTCCGACATCGCCTGACGAGGGAGTGCTTTCAGAACCAGGGGCAAGGAACAGAACGAAGAATATTACCAATCTCAGGGCGGAAACAGTTTTAAGAGACTCTTCGAGGGCCGGGTTATTCTCTCTCGGTTACAACAAGATATGAGCCTTGCAGGCCGAGGCTGGGTGGAATTCATGGCATTAATTAACGTTTGTTACACTTACACCAACTATACCAAGCACTATTTATTTATCTAGCGTCATATGAAACTCAATATACCAACATTTTCTGTTTAGTCCGCGAAGTTCTAGCATCAAAACAACTTCTGTACTCCCCCAGTATTACCCATCCTTTACCTTGATGTTTGTTTTCACCCTTTTGCGGAGTCCTGGTGAAGCCCAGATGACTTGATACACAGTCTATCTATTTACTATATACTCAATCAACTCTCTTTAATATCTTTAACATTACCCAAGACTGTCAACCCACATATTTGTCAAAAAGCTGTTTTGACAAAAGACCCTGCCGTTCCGTGACATGTTGGAATGCGCCAGAAACTGATGGCGCATACGACGAGAGAAGTCACACATTACAAAGTGATATTTTGCAATTCTCTGTGAGGGACACCTTAGAATATGAATCAGGGGTTTCGGGGTCAAACCTGGAAACAAGGCTGGAATCTAATGGCCGGGCACTGTAATTTCCCTCTTCTAATCATCACCAATACTCATTACATCCTCCGGTTTCTTGCTAGGCAACGAAACTCACTCACCACTCCATATGCCTCCACTCCGTGGCGCGGTATGGATGAGCTGGCACCTGGTATATGGCTCTTGTAGCGGCTTATACAAGTACAAAGACAGGTATCATCTAGAGTTTCCTATAGATACTGATAGAGTATAGTTTCGATTACGATCTGGCTTATATCGCACATGAATGTCAAGTATATTGGTTCCATATCGCAGGGCCGCTGTCATGGCCCGCTCAGCCACATACGCTCCAGCGTGTGAATGGAATACCAATCCTGGAGGAAGAGCATCAATCTAGAGACCCTTGAAACATGGTTCACGAGTCCTGTAGCCTGAAATTGCGTTGCTGGAAAGGAGGATCACGGCTTAGGTATGAGGGGGCCTCGCTTTTCTCCCAGTTATAATTCGACAAGAAAACCGCATATTAATAGATGTCAAGCAAGCGCTCTTTTTAAATTACCGTTTCCATATACCAGCTCACCATCATAGTATCTATCGGACAAGAAACACAAGTACCACTTCCATCTGCCAGCCAGAAACATCCTGTACAAGACCTCACTTGTCGTCTAAGTGCCTTTGTGGTCGCTCTTAACAAACTCGACTGACAGTGTAGGAAGCTCCGAGTACTCTTGGCCCTTAGTTGCATAAGCAGTATGGAAACATCCGGTTGATAAGCCCCTTCTCAGGATATACGACAGCCTTTCATGAAGTCAACCAGATGAACATGGAGACATGTCCTCCAGACAGCAGATCCCATTAGAAACCTTTGGAGCCCGCCGATCGTCCCTCCATACTCATACCATCCACCCGTAACTAGGCGCCTACGCCATACATGTCTTCCGCTTCCTCACCAGAGGCACTCGACAATTCGGCCAACTTCAGAAAGTCTCGCCCCAGAAAAAAAGCATCAAACAATTACTATAGTCTATCTTGTAGCTAGTCTCGAGTCACGCTGGCCTATCATTTCTGATGGTGAAGAATAGGACTATTGCCGCGTTGAAGTCCCATAGGATACCAGACTGGGAACCCAAGGCTCACCAACTATGCCTTTGGGCAGTCAAAGCAGAAGAAATCTCTCAGCATTGCAACTAGGACAAGATTTCTTCGGACCCCAATTGGTATCATGATATCGTCCGCCTGTTTATGTCAAGAGGTTTCATAAAGCAAGGCAGCACCCCCCGGGGGGCAGGGACAGGTTCAACATCGGACGGACGATATATAAACCGTTTTCGGTACATTACACCGTGTTTTACTCCATCATACTAAGTATAAATGCTTGTTGGTTATCTTAGTTGATGCCTCTTTATCACCGAGTTCCTCGACCACAACAACAATTGGGAAGACACGGCCGCCACCAACCAATTGGGCAACAAATTCAGTCGTTGCTATGACTAAGAGGCCATTCTCTCTCTGATTACAAGTGTGTGTGTGGTTCGAGCAGAGGATTTTCAGGATGTGGTTGACAGTTATCATTTGAGTATTGTGTTGTTTCTGTTGGTTCTGTTGGTATCAAAATGTGAATAAAGGAGGCGGATGACCCTAGACTCAACTTAAAGCTACTTCGAACAGTAGATTGATTATAAAGTCTTACGGAGCTTGAGACTACGCATGTCAACAGTCATGGAAGGTATCATTCATTGCTTACCATCGCACCCACTGTGATACTGTCTCAAACGTCTCCGTGCTCATCACTCTGAGTATACCCTCTAGTCGCTCCGGATTTCATTTTCCTGCCTTGAAGAAGACCTCTGGGCTAGTTCACGCCATGAGTCATGAACTAAGAAGATCGTTTACTTCCGGTGCATTCCCGAATCCTCATACCCAAGGAGTCAAGGGTCAAGGATTTCTTAGTGTTTGAAGGCGTTTCTTAAGAATTGCATGAATCAGGCGAATAAGCAGGTCAATATCAAAGTATAATGTGTAATGGGGTATTATTCCAAATATGCTCACAATAATAAATAAGTTAACCATCAATACCGGACATCTTGTGGTAGTGCCCCTCTTCCCCTAATTGCCTCCAACCCGCCCAAGTCCAGTTGTATATGATCCTTCTCTTCCGACCAGACATTTGTGAAAATGCCGTTAGTATGAATAATGTGTGTAAAGATATGATTATATCCCGTCAATGTCACCCTCACGGAGAGAAAGACGCCCTTGCGAGTGAAGCATCCGCCCGCCAGTCATTGTAGGTTCAAGTGAATGAAGTGCCCCTGCAAACGCTAAGCTCCCCTTCCTATTGGTGATTTACTTGGTTCGTACCGCGTTGTTACAAATTAGCGTTCGTTTCTCTGATGCGTTGCCCCCTATAACTAGAGACGGAAAGGGCGTCTAGCCGTAAAACATGACCGAACGCCGTAATGAATGAAGTAGAGGCCGTTTCTCATCGTCCTTGCGCTGCTACTACTGCCGTGTCTTGATCGAAATACATGCTCGAGTGCGGCGGTTGAACAGTGACCAGGAAACGCGGTGCTAGTGCATGCCGGATCAAGCAGGCTGGTACCGCAGGGATTGTTGGATGATCAATTCCTTGGTGCAGACTCTTCGGAGGATTGAGGCCGATAATTCTCGGTGTTGGCGTGCAATTCGTCGACTGGCTGTTTGTCGGTCGACTTTGAGACGCAAAAGGCCTGCTGTGAGCCTCGATGGTCCTCTATCCGATGACAACTCGTGCGCCTTCTTTGCCCAATACACCCCTTTCTTTCGGCTTGGGGCTATTTGTGCGACCCTTCTTGCCCTTGAGAAATCCAAACATGCCGCCGGAGCCTTCATTCTTGCCGTCGCCAATATTGTTGGCATCTGTAGGCAAGGTTGCATCCTGGCGAGCTAGTTCAGACCAACTACCGCTGCCATCGAGAGTTACTTGTACGCCCCCAGTAGGACTTGTCATCCGTTGGCCGGCAACAATCGGGACATGGCGAGCTCGGAAGTCATTCTGCAGTGGAGGTGGCGGAGCAGGGCGTACAGGGCGTCCCTGTCGGCTTTCATTGCTGGTACTTGGGTTAAGAGGTGATGACTGATAACCTCCATTGACTGCGGGCATAGGCGTTGCTTCATCCGTTGTGATCGCTTGAGGAGCGTTGTCCGAGTCGGGATGCCCTTCTGGATTGACACCAGTACCCTCAGTGATTCTGTTCAAATTAGCAAATCGATCTCATAGCAGCCAGTCTAGGAGGTCATACCGTTTATAAGCAGCCACTGTATAGTCGAATGGCTTGAAATCCGTCTCAATCATGCGATACAGCTCGTCTTCCCTGATCTCCTTCTCAGTTGCATCGTCCTTTAGACGCTCTCGTGGTTTCTGGCGTCTCGCACGGGCTTCGAGTGGAGCCTCCTCTAATAGCAACTCTTCGAGGTCGTATGTGGCATCGAAATTGGTCTTCTCGGATGAAGGAACAAATATGGGCTCGATTCTCTTAAGCTCGAGTAGCTCGAAATCAAAACACTTGAAGAATTCGTTTTGCGTGAAGCTCTCCCATGTTGAGCCCATCCGAGTTTCGCGGTTCGGGTCGAGCGCGGAGCCGATTGCGTAGAGGCAAGCGAGGGATACAGGTGGCTGCGTAACGGGGTATTTGGGAGAAGCGGCCTGGATCTGTTGACTGAGAGATCCTTCGGAGCCCCCTTCGAACGGGCGCTATATCAAATGAGAAAAGACGTATATATGAGTGGCACAGTTGAACAAGCTTACCTTGTTGTAGATACACTCGTAGAAGAGAACACCTAAGGACCACCAATCTGCCCGCACATCGTATCCTTTGCCAGCGTAAACTTCAGGTGCAAGATAAGCCAAGGTGCCGGACTTGCTAGTAAGTGTCCTTCCTGGAACGACGTCGGAAGCGACGTTCTATTTTCGTTAGTATTAGTTGCATTTGAAGGTAAGAAGAGCTTACAAAATCTGTTAAATGGACATGGCCATCCGCATCAAGAAGGACATTGTCGGGTTTGATATCTCGATGGATGATATTTTGGCTGTGCACATATCGCAAAGCACATCCAAGCTCGGCAATCCAGAATCTAACAGCCTCTTCGGTAAAGGTCTTTCTCGAAATGTGAAATCGCAAATCTCCGCCAGTCATTAGATCAACCACCAGATACCTGTTATCGAATGTGAGCTAGCACTAGATGGTGCAGATTATAGGAGGGCGTACATGTACTCAATATCTTGAAAGCTGTATCTCAAGTTGCAAATGAAAGGATGGTTAACATATTCCAGCATTCGACGTTCGCGGATGATGTTTCGCACGCTTTCGGATCGTACGACTGCGAGGTAGAAAAGGATTAGCATTGTGTCACAGAGATGATAGAAGATTCCATCAGATTGATTATTGCCACCGATGGAAGTGGTGCATGGACCGAGATCTCGGGTCCAAAGCCAAGCGTATGGTCTGTAGGGAGCGCCCTGAACTTACCTTCATCTTT